TGGCCTGACAAGATATTAAATCAGACACAAAACCCAATTAAAGGAAAGCACTGAACTGTGCTGATTCAAGAGCGAGGACGTCTGAATGATTTGTAATGTGACAGAACCTTAGGGGAGGTAGAACCTGAGATTTTTATGAGTCAGCCTGGTTTGCAATAAAACCTTATTTAAAAGTATACTGCCAGTGTATGATTGCGATGAGGCGGTCCCACCTTGGTGAATTTGGAAGAAGCACACAGAGAACCTGAGGTTGCAGGCGAGTCTTGGGAGTTATGCAACACATTCTCTCTGAGGATGGATTACCACAGTACGGCCATTTCCACTAAGCACATTAAGTGAGACCCTTTTAATGCAGTTAAGGGTTGAAGCCTGAACAGGATGTCTGGAGTCAAGAGGTCAGCTAGAGAGGGTAGAAGACAGTACTCAAAGGAACAGGGGTAAAAAGGAGGGCAGTCATCGGCACACTGTGAGAAATCAAATCTAACTTAGAAGCTGAAAAACTAAAATAACCAAAATACTCAACTAAACAAATAGGAAAAATAATATGTCAAAAGCATTAGTATAACTATTGTTTTCTGCTTAGCTTTTCAACTAAATTAAATGTTTAATGCCTAATCACCATTTCCTATCACATTAAAAGAACTGCTCAATTTGGATTCTTTCACAAAACTATGAAACGCGTAAAGGTGGATTATTTCTTTATATGTCATATTTCTATGCATGGTAAACATGCCTAGCTTGAAAAAAAAAAAGGGAAAATTAAAAAAGCAGCATAATCATCAGAGACAAAAACCATCCGTTATCACAGTTAATAAAAGTACATATGAACATCAACAGCCTACAATCTGTGATTTACCAAAAGATGTTACACTGACTACCAAAGGCGAAGCTGCACAGCCAGATGAGTCAAAAACAATGAAATGGTAAACACATTTATGCCCTTAGGTCACATGTCTCTGTTGGATTAGGGGCCTATGAGACTCATCTCTTTTTATCAGAAAGCAAAGTCAGAATCAGGCCTTCAGGGATTTCTGCCTTTGGGAAAGGATCCACTAAGAAGTCTCTTGTGAATGCGTCTAAAATGGCTGCTTCTTCTGAAAACATCTGACAGCTTCTTTGTTATTCCCTGCGTTAAAGCTGGAGCTAAATAATGTATAAGCTATCCAATATACAGAGAGGAACCGGAGCATTTAGTGATAAAAACAGCTGTTAGATCTTTAAAGCAATTTTTTAACACATAAGGCAGCTTCAGGAAAGTGTTTTGTTTTGCCTTTTATACCAAGTGCAGACAATAAAGAGAGAGATTGCAAATAAAAGAAATATTGGCAGGAAAACTTTCTGGAAGAAAATAAATGAAATCTGACTGAAAAAAAACCATCATAATCAAAGATCATATGTGGCTGGGCAATGAAACAATATCAATATATATATACAAGTCATGATCGACACCCTTGCATTAGCAAAAGAAGATGCGTCAAGTATAATGTTCTATGGATTTACTGAATTCTTATCTAGAATCAAGGTGCATTCTGGGCGATGTAGGCAGAAGGAAGGATTCAGATTCTCAAACTCCAAAGTCCAAACTAAGCAAGACCCTTTATTAGCGGTTAAAGGATACATATAGAGAGGTTTAGGGTTAAAATTTCAATATGGCCCATGTCCTTTTTTCAAATAGTTAAAATGACAAAGTATAATTATCGATATCAACAATTAAAATGCATATTGCAAAGCCCTAATCTAATCATATATTACCTACCATTTATTCCAATAAAGCTCTATAATAAGATGCGACTTGCTGCTGCTTTTAAATGTCATTCAATATAATCCTCTGCTATTGACAGCAGGGTTCTCACCATCCACACTTCACTCCATCTCCAGAACTTGGCTCCAACAGCTTTAACAGTGAAGGATTATCCTAATTCAGATAAAAGGACACATCATCTATGCTGTGTTAGCACATCTGAGGACAATGTGGTTTAAACAAATTTAGTGATAAAGCTCTTTCTAAAAAAGCAGAGAAAAGGTTTAGCTCTAAAACAAGTGGGAATATTTGGAACAATATTGGAAGGCTTAAGGAGCATGAGGGTAAATTTCTTTCTTTTTCTTGTATTCACATCATTCAATCCACTCCAAATTATAAGACAAATGAAAAACGACCACCAACCATGAAGCTCCTTCCCAGCTTGACAGAATTCATTACGATGTTTAATAACTACCACTGTAGGAAATTCTAAAATATTACGAGGGGGCATTTACTTATTTATCGCTTAAGTCAAAAGTGGGATGTTTATAGATTTCTCTGTAATGAACCTGGGATGAGAAAAGTGAAAGAATGAACTGTTCTTTACTTAATTCAATAAAAATAAATAAAAAATAGTGTATATTGTCATCTATGTGAGGTATGAAAATGCATAGAATCTGTTCAAGTTATGTATATATATATTAGTGCTGTCAGTCGATTAAATTTTTTTAATCGCGATTAATCGCATCAATGCCTGAGTTAACTCGCGATTAATCGCATTTTAATCGCACATTTTTTTCCTGATTGAAAATCATTTAAATACTCTCGATGACATACAAAAAAAATACATACAGGCTAGGTTTGTGCCAATGTTCTTTTTTTAAAATGAAAACAGGTCACAGATACTGATTTATGCCAAAAATAACAAATATGTAGCCAAAAAAAAGGCCCTGAAAACAGGCTGATGTAAAAGACAGTCTTTACAGTTAATTCAGTCTTTTGAACAAAGACAAGCATTTTACCCTACTGCTATAAAATTTAGTAGAGTTAACATTAGATGTTAATTAACCAAGGTAATAATGAACAATTTTCAATCAATACTTTAAAATCAATCAACCGACATCACTAGATGGAGGTAGTCTATGCTCTAGAAAGTAACTTTTCAGCCTCTTAACAAAAATGAGAACACACACACAAGCACCCACACACACACACACACACACGCGATACCGACCTGTGGCGTACACAGACAGCCGTAGCAGATTCAATTTCACCTCAGTAATCTGTTTTCTCAGCGTATTTCAGGTTGCTACTAGTTACCAGACACTAAACTTGTTTGTTGGTGGTGGGGCTTAAAGAAAAGGCAGTAGCGTCACCCAGTGTATGAGCGTCTTTTTTCCTTGAGGAGCTCCGCTCTGGAAGCCTATGAGAAATGCATAGACTGGGGGAAAATAGCCCCGCCTTCTCGCAGGCTGCAGCGGGATGTACTTGGAAAATTGTACCATAAAACCACATAGCGTTAATCTCACATTAAAAAAATTATCGCCGTTAAAATGGCCTCGCGTTAACGCGATAATAACGCGATAATTTTGACAGCACTAATATATATATATATATATATATATATATGTATGTATGTATATATATGTGGTGTTTACAGCAGAAAAAAGATTAGAGGAAAAATGATCACACAAATGTGGACCTTAAAAAATGTATAAGAATAACATACTAGTGAGGAGTTAAAAGATGAACAATATAATACTGTACTGTGTTTTAACAATATAATGCATATTACAAACATTATATAACAGTTTATTATCTATATATATCTGTAAAACCCACCAAAAGCGAATGAATGGAAATTTAAGCCATTACTCTCGGTTTGGTCTTATTTACACGAGCTACAGAAACAGAACAGAAGGAAATTTTCAGCCCAACTGAATAAGTGTTGGACCAAATTCAAGTGGGCTTAGTTAAATGACATTTTTCGCTGTGCCTCAGTCGCTCCATGTTGGGATTCATCCACTCCCCCCTCAGCTACCTTATGAAGTGCTGACACAGCACCATGCTCCATCTGACCAGCACCTACACACACAGAATGAGAAACTGCAACCTGTGTGTGGTGTTATTGATGCCAGCTTTGTTGTACGCTGATGGCATCAATCAGTTCCAACACGGCAGATATTAGAACTGGGAATTGATTGTTTCATGTTTCTGATCTGACCCAGTTAGTGGGAAATTTTAGAGACTAGAGAGAAAACGTTTTGAATGGGAGCAGAAGTACAAGCGTATCAATGCATTAGACAGGGAGAACTTCTTCTTCAAAAACCAGATGACGAACTATGCTGGATTCAGTAACTGTAGTTCTAAAGATACTCTCTTTATCAATATTCTTATCTTCACCGATTGACTTTTAGACGGTGGCCAGGCGCATTTATGTTCTTTATCATGTTTACGTCCACAATTCGGAGACTTGGGAAGAAACGTCAGACTTTACAGACCCACCAAAGCCAGTTTTTACTCCACCGTATCTACAGCAGGCTGAAGACTTAGCGATCACAGCACAGGGGATAGTGGAACGCTTTTGCCAGATTTAATCAAAAACACAGAAAATAACTACATGCCTTTTCTGGAAAAATGTCCTAATGTAACAAATGTCACCCATGAGCATCTGCGTCATGTAATGATGTCCAGATTCAGCTCCTTTACTACCCTGGATAGTGTTCTTACTGTTAACCCCATAAAGGGTGAAAGAATAGAAGAAAGAATCAGGAAGTAGGGGCTACAGTACCATCTGATAGATGCAGCTCTAGTTTGACAGTAATTTGTACTACAATGTAGGACTGGGCAATATTGGAAAATAATAAAACAGATATTTTTAAGCTGAATGGTGATATATATGATTTAATATATATATTTATTTATTTATTTATTTATACCTTAATTATAAAAAAGCCCCTGAGAATGAAAGCTTTGTCAGACAGGCATATTTTCAACAAAAAGCTGTAGATAAACATGGGAAATGGTTGATGGAAAGTTTACTGACATACATAAAAGTATAATTATAATGCAACATAGACCATCTCAATATAACAATATTGTCTCATCTTATATCTCTTATGAAAACAAACGTGATATTTTCAAACCTTGCTACGATGCAGGTTATTGGAGCCACATTTTCTTGAATGAACTTTGATTTTAAAGAAACACCAATAGATGTTTGGAAAAAGTCGATATTTTTCAATCACTCCTCACTTACCTCACTATTGTGTCCTCTGAGGTTGAAGTTTACCCTCTGTGGGGTGGCCCGATCCCGTCTGCAGTGGCTGGATGTGAACGTGACCCCGACAACTCCTCGACTGTTGCCGGTAGCCAGCCAGCCCTCTTCATAGTACCGCTTTCTGCACACAGGCTTCTCCTTCTCGCTCTTGGGGACTCTGCCCTTCCAGGACAAACACAGGATGTTGGAGTCGCTGCAGAGCACCGGGCCATGCTCCACAGCAGCAAACATCCCTGCAGCTTTCTAATCCTCTGATATAGAAAAAAAAAGGACAACTCAGGGAGAGGTTCTTTTTCTCTTGAGCGCTGTTATGAGTGCCTCTCTTCCTGTGAGGTTATTGGTTTTGTATAGCAACAACAGTGCATAGTACTTATGCTTTCCTTTGGCTATCTGCAACAGCGATTAAAGGCGATCGATCACAGGTTGATGAAAGAATTAATTTAGTCAACAGGGGTGCAAAAAACAAAAGGCACTCAAGTCATTGTGAAATGTTTGAACAGAGAGCTGCTGGGCTGGTACAGGGTCAGGGATGAGCCGACAAAAGACAGTGACAGCCTAGGCATCCAATATAGTGAACGCCATGCTAATGTCCAACCAGGCAGTAATTCCAGTTAGCCCAAGTGACATTTTTTCTTTTTTTTTGTTCAGTTTCCAATGTCCAAAGTACTCTTCATTTGTTCCTGACTGCGTGTAAGAGAGGAGGAGAAAGGACCCCTCTCTATCAGCTGTCAGCAACTTCTCGGGAGAACCTCATCATGCCAGCCTGTCCGCTTGTTCCAGCTCCCACAGCGATTGCAGAGAGGGCTGCTGGGTGACACAGAACAATAAATGTTATCACACAGATATGATCAGGTGAAACAAAAATAAGACCAACCACATAAAGGCTCAGAAAAACCCTCACCTGCTCCCCACAGCTACTGAATGAAATATTAATACAACCACCTAAAATAGTTTAAGGACTACGCTCCTCAGCGGAAGGATCTTTAATTACTGAACTACCTTTTTTTAGAAAAAAAAAACAATTAATCATTTAAGCCTCTGTTTCATCAAAATGTAAAATTAGAAATAGGCGTTTCTGTAGCATAGCTCCTAATTGATGTATTCCATTTTATTCTTCATGTTGTAGGTTGTTAAAAATCCAATAGTCAGAATTCAAACTTACAGCCAGGTCTCCATGTCCTATCATAGTTCATCCTAAAAACCTGCAGATCAGTCAAAACTAGGGGTGGGTATTGCCAAAGACGTCACGATTCGATTCGAATCACGATTCACAGGCCACGATGCGATTCAATCACGATGCATCACGATACTTGAATTATTGTGATGCATTGCAATATTTTCTCCTCCATGTTTTGTTTTTGAATGACTCGGCGCAGTATCCCGCGGCCGGAAATGCTTGTGACACAAGGCAGCGTGCGTCAATACATCCGCAGCGACATCTACTGGACTGGAAGTTGTATTACACTTGTTTTTGGGTGATGTTCGCCAACCATTGATGCAATTTTATTTATTAATTTTTTTAAATTAATAATCGATACTTGGCGTCAAGAATCGATGCAGTAGATCACGAAAATTAGAATCACGATGCATCATCACGGCGATTATTTTGCACACCCCTAGTCAAAACAGAAAATTTTTGCTTGGTTTTGAGGTGAATCGGGTGGAGATTTGCCGCCAAAGTTTCTCTTTTCTTGTTGTTGTAGGGGAGTGTCGGCCTGGTGATTAGGGCATAGAGCTTGGAATCCTGAGGTTCTGAGTTCGAGCCCCACTCCCATAGACTGTCACTCTTGGTCCCTGAGCAACAACCCTTAAACCGACACTGCTCCCCGGTTGCCCCACGATGGCAGCCCACTGCTCCCCAAGTGGATGTGTTAAATGCAGAGGTAAATTTCTCCAATGTGAGACCAATATAGTTCAATTATTATTATTATTACTCCTGGCTAATACCAATTTCAGTTTACATTTAGGTTCCAAACTTAAACACTGATATAACTTTTAATAACAACTGTAATATAAACCTGCCTTTTTTCTGAACTTATTACGATTTTGTGCATAAACCAGAATTATTCCCTTTTATACAAACCTTGTTTCCCTTAACCTGTCTATCGCTTTTATAGTGCTAACAAGTAGGGATGGGAATCGAAACCTGGCTCCTGTTCAGAACTGGTTCTGTGTTCCAATTCCATGGCACTGTTTGGCAGCTCGCTTAACGATTTTCTTAACGGTTCCAAGCAGCACCAGAACCTCTGGGCAGCTACGTCACTTTATTTATGCAAGTTACGCACACTGCATTCAGTAACCAAGTAGGACGTGATCAGGCGTAAGTCTAGAAAAGCAAAACAAAAGCGCTCAAAGCGATCGAAAGTTTGGCTTCATTTTAAGGAAGAGAAAGATGACAACAAGGCGGTTTACAATCATTGCAAAGTGACAATTACATTTGCAGGATAAAATACATCCAACATGCAGAAACACCTGCGCATACAACATGGCATACGTTTTTACAAATGCCATGTTTTTGATGCTTCCAGACAAAAGCTAAAGTTACGACTGGCATGGAAGGCAACTCTGGTGGTAAGTAGCTAGTTTTATATCACTGGCGGTGCCTAATGTGGTTCCTAGTAAATAATATGCCATTTCTGGAAATAAACCCATTTCCTATCTCTCTTTGGGGTTATTAAATGTGCTACGAAGTTGCTCCGCAATTCAGGGAACAAGAGAAAGGTGACGCCTTTTTTTTTTTTAAATCAGGGGGAGATGTGTTTATTTCCCGAAATTGTACAGTAATGCTTTTGCATTAAACGGATGCCTTCTCCATTAGATTTAGATGACTGTGACGAGACGGGTAGCCTGGTTGGCTCAGCGGCTGGCAGCTCCCGTTTACTGCCTTCTGTTTTTGCCGAGGCAGGCAGAAATAGAATGTCCCAGGCGAAGGTAGACGAATGTCACCGTTCATTGTTTCACAGAATCAATACGGAATCGAACCGTTTCAGAGAATCGATAAGGAATCTAATCATTTCACAGAATCGATAAGCAAATCGGAATCGTGAAAATCTTATCAATTCCCAACCCAACTAACAAGAGTACATCAAAATACATACAGTATGTTCATGTTTTATAGACGAAAATTTGGAAGATCTCAGTTTTGATGATGCATGCATTAGAAATATAAACTGTAGAATTTGCAGCCTCATTAGTGAGAAATTTGGTGCATCTTTAATAGTTAGAACTAAGTTGTTCTTGTCAGTGTGCTTTTGTTCTGTTTCACTTTTATGTATTTATGTCCCCTTTTCAGTGTGGAGAATCAGATTTTTCAGTACCTAACTCAGATGGAAAAATAAGGACTCCTCAGTGTTTATTTATTTGTGTGACATAAAATAGGGAGGGTTTCCTTCATTTCCCCCAAAACTGCTCAGGTATCACAAATTTGTTTTTAAAATGTTCTAAGTAAATAAAGTTTTGTTGAATGATGTCCAAAGTTACACAAAAGGAGCAAAGATGAAATTAACAGAGACATAAATGATGCATCAACATTCAAAGACGATCAATTTAACAGACACGACCAAAATGTAAGCCAAGTCTGTCCAATAATCCTCACACGATTGCATATAACGGTGTTATAACAAAGACAAAAATGTTGGTGGTCCAGTTACTTACTGAGGAACAATGGGGAAAAAAGACACAGTCGACAATAATAAAACATTTAATCTTAATAAAATTGTTAGGATAACCGCGTATTGTCGTTAACTGCCAGCTAACAGCAGCTAGCCAAGATGCTGGGTAGAGCCAGAGGTTCTAAACACCAAAACATCTCAGCAGCGGTATTAATCAATCGGGAAAACATTTATATTTCAACTGTATTCATTTATTTTTTCTTCTTTGCTTTAATCTGACCTATATTCTATATGTTATAGCTACAGCAATGTGATGTTTCGGGGGGTAAAAACAAGAAACCAAGCAGTGAAATGTGGCTGGTTAGCCGAGCAGCTAGCTGAAGCAGAACCCGAAGCCCCCCCATCATCAGCGGACACTTTTATCCGTCCATCCGCCGCTCAACAGACGGCTACGGCTAACAGAACTGTTCGCTCTGGCATTTAGTTTATATATAACGTCAGCTTTAATACACAACTATGTAGTAAATAAAGGGGGAGACTAAAAACAGCGTCAGTGTAAACAAAGACGGGGGAACACCAGCGGGCTGAAGGGAGCTTACCTTTGGCTCGGTGCTGCTGCTGCTGCTGCTGCCGCTTCCTCCGCCTGCAGCCCGAAAGCTACTGTAAACTGGCAGGGCCCAGACAGCTGGGGCACGTGACGCGCACGTGACCAGTGGAATTATTTATACCAACAACTGTAGAGGTTTAACTTTGATCTTCCTCCACGTGTGGATAAAAATACAAGCTCTTTATTGTGAGACAAAGACACGCTTCATTGGTTGGCAATGCTTCTGCTGGCAGTCACAGAAAATAAAAACTGATTTGGAAGAAACAGATGCATTGGAGGAAGATGTAAATTAAAATAATGGGGTGCAAATCATTTGCATCGTGTACAAAAGCATGGGAAACGATTTTAAACATTTTAATAATATTAGAAATAAAGAATAATAAAAAGATATAAAAATTTGGGCTCACAGTTAAAATAAACTACTGTAGGGAGCAGCCTGTGTTGAGTTCATGACCAATCTGACTCCTTACATCCGTACCTTCAGCCTCGAATGATCTAAAGCCAGTTGAGATTGGATGTTTTGTAAAAGAGAAGAAAAAAAAAAACATTTTGATTCAGTCTGCCTTCCATTTGAAGTTCGTTTATAATCTATTCTTTTATTTCTAGTTTAGTTTGCAAAAGAAATGAATAAGCAAATTATAATACTTATTTTTTTACATAGTAGTTATTGCCAACTTTAGTAACTATACATAATAAATTTGTTTCATAGTCTTTTTAAGATGTTTATATAACTTTATATTGCACTACATTCAATATTTTGTTTTCTAAATGTATTTATTTATATTTAAACCTGCTTCTCGTGCATATCATTTCCATCTAAATCTCATCTAATATCAGCTATACATAATTGAAGTTTGCTATTTGTATGTTTTCTTTTATGCTTTTGGCATTTCGATGTTGTTGTTTTTATTTTTATTTATATACCTGGCTTTTGTTTTGCTTTCTATGTTTTTTACTTTTGGGTTTTAGTTTTACTTTGTCTTTCATTTGTTGAGTTTTACAAATAACCTCTGTTTGAAAGAAATTCATGTAATGTGCCAAAACAACTCAAACAACACAAAGATTGCATGTAAAACATGAAGTGAGACAGTAGAATATAATAACAAATACTTCCAATAAAAGTATTTGCATAAAGTATACATTTTATTTTTGCATATAAGGCTTTTAGACATCCCATAAAACAGTATTGTTATTTATTTGTTATTCAGAGCAGTACACATTTGGAAGAGGATTAGGGCCACTGAGAAAATAAAAAAGTTAACTGATTTTTAATATTATGACTTTTTTTTTATCAGAATTTTGACAGCTAACAAACATGTTAGCATCAAGCAGTAGCAATGTCTGTTTTAGAGACTAGCTCTCTTGTTTTAATGAGCTTCTGCTCCTCCATTAATAAAATAGCATCACATAAAAAGTTGCCTAATTTCCTAATTTTTAACCAATGTGTTACTGGCCCTCCCAAACAACTCACATCTTTGTCAGGAAAGGTCAGTGCTCCCACATCTCTTCCTTAATGATGGCCATCCACATTAAGATCAAAATTCTGAGACTGAAGTCATAATTCTGAGAAAAAAAAGTCATAATTCTGAGATTAAAGTCATAATTCTGAGAAAACGTCAGAATTCTGAGATTAAAGTCAGAATTCTGAGAAAAAGTCAGAATTCTGAGAAAAATTCATAATTCTGAGGTTAAAATCAGAATTCCGAGATTAAAGTCAGAATTCTGAGGAAAAAAAGTCAGAATTGTGAGATTAAATTCAGCATTCTAAGATTAAAGTCAGAAGTCTGAGAAAAAAGTCAGAACTCTGAGATTAAAGTCAGAATTCTGAGAAAAAGTCAGAATTCTGAGAAAAATTCATAATTCTGAGGTTAAAATCAGAATTCCGAGATTAAAGTCAGAATTCTGAGGAAAAAGAGTCAGAATTGTGAGATTAAATTCAGCATTCTAAGATTAAAGTCAGAAGTCTGAGAAAAAAGTCAGAACTCTGAGATTAAAGTCAACATTCTGAGTAACAGTCAGAATTCTAAGATTGAAGTCAGAATTCTGACTTTTTTCTCATATACTGAAATAAAATTTAAAAATCAGTTAACTTTCTTTGTTTTTTCAGTGGCCCTAATCCTCTTCCGTTAAATTGGTATATGCCGTACATATCTAGATTTTATATTAAAATGTATTTTCTTACTTTAAAATGTGTCTTTAACCATTACATAAATTAAACTCTAAATGCAGTGAAGATAAAATTGAACAGAAAAACTGTCAAATGCACAAAAGCGGTGTTCAGAGGCGTAGTTCCTTCTCCATTACACAAGGGGGCAGTACGCACAAAACCTTACCTAATATTTTCTACCCTACCAAAGACATGGCGGCGCCCTTGGTCCTTAGACGCGATTTACTGTCTTTTGCCAGAATATTAGGTGGAATTTCACAGTTGGTATGTCAACAATTAAGTTTCTTGTTTTATACACTGTGCTTAATCAGTTATTTTTGATTGTTGGGTTAGAGAGTGAAAAGATAACTGGTCATTAAAACCGCAATTTCGGTTACTCGTGGCTCCCTTCACTTCGTGCTGTTACACAATAAATGCTATAATATGTAGATTTCTACTAAATTAATTGTGTTTACAGGGACCTCGGGGTTTGAATTCTTGTTCTCGTCACAGGAAATGCGGTCAAACTCGGTAAGTTTTTGTCTGTTAATCTGTTGGCTTTGAAACTGACTAGTAAAGTTACCTATTTTAAAGCCCATTTAAGATTTGCGTTCAAATCACGCTTGAAATGATAAAGGAGAAATAATTATGTACTGTGAACTTAAGGTTGAGGTTATTGATGGGAATAAAAAATATTTGATCCTGCAGCAACAACTGTAAATTATACTTAGTTTCGTTTAATTCTAAATTAAGGGTAATTATTTATTTACCAGCTTTAAATGGAAACCATGTCTGTGTTCAGCCCTCCATCTCAACTGCTATATGCATCTCTGTCCAGGTTCCAGCTTCTACAGTCATCCAGCACTTTCTTCCACACAGCCACATATTTATCTTCAACACCTTTTACAGTAAGATGCATATAACATTTTTTTTTTTAATTAGAAATGGGATTTATAGCATAGAGCCATTGTATTGAACTGTTTTTATATTCTTGGCCTGCTTGTTTTTTCACACAGATCACAGCCACAGATGAGCCTGACACACTCTTCCAGAAAGTGGTTGTTCTGGTCAAAGGTCATGACAGAGCAGTCTTGGACAGCTACGAGTTCTTCGCCACCATGGCGGCTAAAGAACTGGGCATCACTATGGCCAAAGTGTGAGTCTGAGTACCAATGCACCAAAAGCTCAAAGTATTTTCATTGGTTGTAATTTGGGGATTTTTTTTCAACCAGTTTTGAGCCTCCCAAGGACATAGAGAGACTGACGCTTTTGAAGTCAGTGCACATCTACAAGAAACACCGAGTTCAGTATGAGATGAGAACACACTACCGATGTATTGAGGTGGGGGCTTGTCCTGTTAAGTGGATAAAAAAAAAAAAGTGGTGCTTTTTAATAACCCATTTGTTGATTTTTTTTTCCCCTTAGCTACATCATATTACAGGCTGCACAGCACAGGTGTATCTTGAATATATCCAGAGGAACCTCCCTGAAGGTGTAGCCATGGAGGTGACAAAGGTAAGGAAGAAAGGAACCAGTAAAAAAAGTAACTTACTAAAAAGGTTGAGGTTTTATAAATGAACTTGACTTTTCTCCTCTGTTTGCAATTACAGACAGCCATGGAGAAAATTCCAGATCACATCCTTGAACCCATGTGGAAAGACCATCCTATTGATGACAAACCAAGCAAATAGGTCATCTGGTGAATTTTTATAAGTTGTAAAAAGTTTAAGAAGCTTTATGTATAAAGCTATATGTATAAATCTGCAAGATCCTCATACAAAGCTGATTACTGATCTTTAGCTACATATTTTGCATACATTCATTAGTGTGTTAAAAATGTGTTACTCTTGTTCAGTTCTAAACCACTTCTGTGTGTCAAAGTTTGTTTCTAAGTAAAATTTATAAAATCTTATGTGGAATGTAGTTTTTTTTCTGTTGTAATTCTGCTGTATTTGATTCACTGAATGTGTGTTGGGCATTTAAAGAATGTTGACACGACAAGACCTGCACACATTTATTTATTGTATTTAGGCACATAAAAATCACAGCCCAAAGTTTCATAGATGCATAAAAAATACAGCATGCTCAAATCAAGTGACTAGTATTTAATGAAAACAAGTAATTTGCTCATTTATATAAATCATGCAAAATGTAACTCGATATTTTCAAGTTGCACATTACAGATCATGTAATATGTAAAGGAGGGTTATCAGATCTTTCTGCCCATTTACAGATTCTAAATGAGCTGGTACTGACTGAGAAAAGTGTGTATTTCTTTGTTAGCAGAATGCTCAGTAATCTGTCAGTGGATACAGTTTTATGTATAAATCCCTGAAATGTAAGTACTTGTTTTTTCAAAGAAACAGTCTTAAGTTTAGCTGCACTTGAATATCATGAATAGAATTTTCTAAATTGATTCTAATTTGAGTTGCAACAATTTAGAGATGTTAATTGTTCAAATAACGTGAAGTTTTAAATTCCCAGAAGTGATGGTTTCAAATGCTGAAGCTATAAACACATGTATATAGATTTAAGTTTTTATCCTTTCACTAGCACAAGGTGGTCATCTCTAAATAGACCGAATTTAGCTCGTCTACTGTGAAACTGACAATTAAGTTGGAGCTGAAATGCACCACTGCAATTCTATTAAAGTAAAAAGCACCTTTGTGAGTGAGCATCCTTTGCTAGCTCTGCACAGTTTTAAGACTGGAAATTATCCAGGATACATTTAAATGCCATACTGTTGTTGGATACAGTTAACCCAGGCCTTACTAACAATCAGAGTTCAAATGCAAAAAAACATTCAAAATATTACATCCAAGCAGTCATTTGCAATACTGCACAAGCTTATATAAAACACTCTTATAAAGAACAATGAATGGTCTGATCTTTGCAGCTCAGGCATAAACACAAACCCATAAATACTTAGCAGCCTTCCGATTGGGATGAAACTTCGAAGTAGCTGCGTCGCCTGTCCTGGGAAAATAAAAGAATCTCTCTTTGTACGAGAGGCATTAAAGACACAACAGGAGGCTCACCTTGTCGATTGAAGCACTGCATCTTCTCAGATATCATGCTGCTGATCGAGGAGAGAAGGGATGTGAGGGAGGGTCGGGGCTCGTGGGGCCAGGGAGGTTAACTGTACTTTGTGCCCTCCCACCCCCTTTAGGAAACAACGAAAGTCAGTTTGTTATAATCAACCACAGGGACTACAGAGGTGGAGGACAAAAGCAAAAAAATAAATGCTGAGAAATCTGAAGAGATAAAGAGACGATGAGAGACTGCAGCAGCTGGAACTGATTCCCCCCTTGGGTCTGCAGCAGAAATAAAATATTCTGCAGCATCTGTGTGGTTCCAAGCATAAACATTTAAAAGTTCTTGTTCCCTGAACTTTAGGGAATAAATATGAATTCAATTTAGCAATGTTTGGCTTTTTTGAATAAATTAGCCATTCCTAAATGAGGATGTAAAACACCTAAAGCTTATTTTTTGTATTCATCATTCCAAACAAGTTTATTTAAGGCATTTCTGATTAGTTTAGTCACTAAATTATGACATTAGTAGCTGCAACTCTAAAAAGCTACTTAGCCATCAGAACAGAACAATTGTTTATACATTTTTACATGATTGAGCTACTGTATCCTTAATGTCCTGCTCACATCTGAAGTGCACAGGAAATTACCATCTTGCCTCTTTTTAAGAGTTAAAAATAAAAAAAGTTCAGTCATTTGTCATCTCAGATTATCCTTTCAGAATGATGTCCTCCTTTTAGACATGCTACCACTGATTTTTATATAAAATTAGCATTTAAAAGCCTTGATATTGGAGCGGTCCGGAGTCCTCCAGTAACATTAGCTTCCATTACACTTCTTGGAAAACCCTTTATTATGCTCTCCAGTTACCTATTCAGATGTTTTTCATTATTGTTTCTCTCACTTTTGCTTATAAATGTCTTACTTCGATAGATGTTAGAAATAATAATGTGCTACTTTTAGTAAAGCACTAGAGCTAGCACTTTTTAGCTCCAGAGAGTATAGAAAAACTTCTATACAAACATATATGGTGGCTTTTAAGTAAAACTACTTGGATAAAATGTTAAAGTATTAAATAACATAGGCTCACGCTGACCGTGTGATACATTCTGTTCATGGTTTCTTCCAAAAGTTTTCCTACACCTTTTAAATTCTTATTTTTGGGTCATAATATGAGACATTCCTAAGCACAATTAGGATTTAATGTCAGACCAACAAAAAGTAGCAGATAATTTTGAAGTGTAGATAAGTCTAGATGTAATTTATGGGGCGTAACCTGGAAGCTTGGTACTGATGGACAACCAGTTTTCAGGTTTTTATTAGTGAAAAAAATCAGAAAATCAAGTCTTATTTTTTTTTCCAGTTCACAACTGCACACTACATTGTGTTCGTCCACCAGCACAAAAATCTTATAAAAGTTATAGCTGGCTGCTAATTGACAAAAATGGGGAAAAGTTCAATAATTCTAAAGATTTTGCAAGGCATTGACATGCAAATTGCTTCAGACTTGTTTGTGAATGAACAAATAAGGAGAAGTAGTGTTTATTTACTTTTTGTTTTATTTTATATTCTTTCACGACCGTCTCAGATCTTAAACGTTTTCATAAAACAAATTCACAGATTCACAATATTTATAGTAATTACAATAGGTAAGGATGTAACACCTCAAAAAACTAAACAGAGTAAAGAGACTAACTTTTAACTAAAGTGAATACTAATTATGCAAAATTCCTTAGTGTCATGTCACAACAGATTGCCGGAGACAACACGAATCTTTCAAATAGCAGTACTTATAACTTGAAATAGCAGCACATTAAATATATATAATCTATATTACAAAATGTAATATTCACGAATACTACAAATTCAGTTGTCTTATCACTTGACAAATGAGCAAGTGTTTAACAATATTGTTGCACTATTTTGCGACATAATACATAACTACCTCAATGTAACAAAATGAAAGACAAGGGCGCTCCAAGATGTGAAATTAATCCTTGAGGGTACAGTGTTTTTCCCTCTCCCCCTCTTCTGCCATTTTCTGATATACAGTGTCACCATTTTTTTAGTCTTTATCGAGAAATCAGGAAAGAAAGTTAAGGCTAACAGGTGACAACAATAACATTAACCAAACAGTATTCTTTCCCATTTAAGAACGTTTAACTACAAACATCTTTTAACAATATCAAAAGTCTCTGCAGTGCCAACATTATTGATGAGCAACACAACGTGTTAATGCGTTCACATTGCCGAGTTATTCATCGTTTTATATGTCTCCAGTGGGAACAAGTAAGTTTCCTCCCATTTCCGGAATGAAATACCAATAATACTTGGCCACAGACTGGATAATAGATATTTGAGTTTGGGGATGATTCAATCCATTTTAGGCCAGTCATACTATGGCAGGTGCTCATTTTATAGCTTTTATTCAGTTAAAATCGGCGGCCAACAGGGGGGCCTGGCCACCTCTGGCCTCTGCCAGGTGGGGGGTGAGGCGGAGGAGAGACCGGTCCATTGTGGTAGCTGTGTAAAAGGATAAAATCACACATTGGATATTTGGCTTTGGCCAATAGGGGGCACACTCTGGTAAGAGCAGCAATCTCTTAGCTACTTTCAGTAAACTCTATACATGTGAAAAGAAAAATATGTTTTTGTAGTTTAATCCTTCATGCATGAATAATATAGCTTGATGCTGTAAGTGTACTATGTCTGTTTAATGACTTATTTAATAACTAGCAAAAGTGTGTTGAAGAAAGGCATATATTAAAGCAAGAATATTGTATTTAGTTCTAGCACTTGAATGATTATGTGCTAGATCACAAATAAGTGTAAAAAATATCAAGCTAAATTTTTAAACAATGCAATAACCATGTTGAGCAGAAAAGCACAGTCTAATCTTAAGAGCCTTTTCACTCACAGGGCTTTTCCACCAAAGAGGCTCCTGCTGAAAACCACAGCTGGTGCTTAGGTTCTTCTAAAGAACAGTTTTGCTTCTCTACCAACCCAGAGCAAAGTTACAGACATGTTATTACATTATTATAGGCACACAAATTATATTATTGCTTCCAGCATCCTTGCAAACAGACCCCCCCAATTTCTACCCTACTCTGTTAATATTTTTTTAAACATGCAGCTCTTCAATCCTAATCAGCTGAGCTCTCATGTACAGCAATAAACAGCATGTAGTTCATTATATAAGCAGTCCAAGAAGTAAATAAAAGATCAACTGTATTAAAAAGTCCATCAGAAATGAAATTATGGTTTTAAGGGAAAGTTGTCATCTCTACTTTAACTCCAATATTGGTTAACTAAGCTAACAAAGTCAGCATCTATTATTCTGCTTATTAAAGCACTATATTTCCTGTTTCCTTTTATATTTGCTTTTAATTGATGAGAAACAAAACTGAAATGAGCAGTTTTTAAAATATTAAACATTACAAGTGAAGAACCAGAAAGTGGTTCTTTCCTATGTTCCAGCAGCAAAGTGGTACCAGGCTGCTCCAGTTTCTAAGATCCAAGATTTGACTTTGTGTTTGTGGAAATATAAAGTACCAGGTCTTAGTAAGCTCTAGCACCAGGTAAGCCCAGGAACCAATTGGGTGAAAAAGGTCCCATAGAGTAATGAATCAGAAAAGTAAGACAACAAAGAGCCAAGAAAGGTTAGGAGAAAAGTGTTGTATGGAAACTGGAACCAGTCTTACCCTCTTGGACCACGGGGGAGGAAGTGTGGTGGAGGGCCAGGCGGTGGCATGCCTCTGCCTCGAGGGTGTGGTGGCCGCCCTCTGAAACCAGGGTGACCTGGAGGGGAGGGTGGAGGGGGTCCATGCCTTTAAAAAAAGCAAAAGAAAAATCATGCGTGCTTTTTAAACAATACTGACACCTGTATCATTTACTTCTGAACAATATCTAGAATTTAAATAATAGCATAGAGAGAAACATAAAACAATGGACTGAACTGCATTTTATATATATGATTGTGAATTTATGTAATCTGTCTATTATATTACCTTAAGGCAGGGTTATATGCTTGGCTTTTTCTCACCGAGAGCATAGGCTCACAAATTAAATGTAGCAGTATTAAGAACTTTCTGGCATAGCACGATTTTTTTTAATTAAAATTAACCCGGGTTATGATTCATATTTTATGAAGTTCTCCTTCTTTAAAGGTATTTTGAAGGATTTTTTAAAAGACCCGCCCTGTGCACTTAAAAAAAAAAATGCATGTGCAAGAACATGCCAGACATGGGCAATGTGGAGTCAACAAGTCATCTCCATGTCATGTATTTAATCTACCCAGCCAATTAACCAGGTGAGTCCAATCTGCACAGGTTAATTCATGGTGAAGATTGGACTCACCTGCTTCAGTGGCTGGGTAGAACAAATACATGACATGGAGATGACTTGTTGACTCCACATTGCCTATGTCTGGAACATGCACAAGACCATTTCCCCTTGTGCATGCCTGTTTAAAATGTGCTGTTCTCATAGCTCAAACAAGCTTACTGTGTCCACATATAGCGGGTACTATATAGCTAATTGACCATTCATACAGATGATCACTGCTTTTTGCTCCATTGGTCACGTAACTCCTCCTCCTCCATGCGGTGCCAGCGCCTTCTGTTATTAGTCGAATCCCATAATGCTTTGCAAAGAGAGCTCTCCATGCACAGAATTCTGGGATATATCTGCCTCTTCTGCCTTTCTTTTCTTCTCATACACTTCATAGACATTTTTCTCTTATGACCCTCTGCCATTTTCAAAGAACTGTGGTGAGAAAGGTGAGCTTCAATGACTGTCTAAAACTGTAGCTCACCACAGATATACGCCTGAAAGTGCAAATGCGCAGAAAATGATAGCGAACGGGACGAGCACATACAGACGGCCTTACGTAAACATATCACCAGAATGATTGACAATTAGGAGGACCAATTATTTAGATGATCAATCCGGAAATAAAAGATCATCCTCTAGTCTATACCTTTTAATGGAGGTTTCGACAAATTACCTGCCTGCTTCTGCCCTATGCAATATGTACAGAACATAAGGTTGTCCTGTTTGCTGACATCTCCCATAAAAAATTTTAATAAAGACCTTGTATCTTCATCTCTTCAAATAATAATTTATACAAGGTTTACATTAAACTTCGTCATATGGCATCTATTGCACTTACTTTTCTTTAGGACAAGTCATAATGATTATATATTAATTTAGATTTTCTAAGATTTCTGTTTTTCTCTGATAAAAAAAATTGCCCATCAGAATACATATTTGAAAAAGTTAATGTTAAGGCTTCATATGTAATGCAGGGAGGATCTATTTTAGTGCAACAGGTTCAAAGAAAATAAAATTTTGGCTAAATTTTGCATTTACATCCCACTTTTTAATCACTGGAAGCTTTGGGCATGCGTGGCTCTTGTTCAATGGTGAAATGGACAGTCGCTCTTCTCCTTGATTGCAGAAATGGGCCGCAGCGTTCAGGAAGACTGAGGGGCTTCCTCTCTCACACTTTGCTGAAGCAATAAACTCAAAGCTGTCAGTGAATGTGTCGTCACAAAAGTCTCCAACAAGAAAGGAAATGGTCACTAGTTTAAAAAAAATGTCCTAAAAGTCGCTGAAAATAACAACCATGTTGCTGAGTTGACAACACTGTGCTCACCTGCCGCTGTGAGCCGATTGAAGTCCGGCACAGTGTTTGTTTTCACAGCATGTTCCTCATGTTTATGTGCCAACAAGGATATAAATGCGTTTTAAGACACTGTTTCTGCTGCCATTACGCTCATTAAAAGTCAGGATATTGACATATTTCCTTTGTATTTCTAAAAGTTTTAACGTAACCAGCAAAGAAGGGGGAACTTTTTTTTCCAAAGCTGCATGGTGACAGTGGAAAGTGAGAGAGTGGAAGGGAGGGAGGCTCGCTTTGGATCCACTCATTTTTTTGCACAGTTTGTTGCTTTTACGTTTTGCTCCCAAAGTCTCCTTTAACAGAGAGAAATCCCACTAAAAAGGTGCAAGAAAGGTCTGAAAAGACGCTAAATATAACAACAAAAGCACTTGTGCCTCTGCTGGAACAGTGACGTCTAGTAGCTGGTTCCTTAACTATTTTCCTTATACAAAATTACCATTATACTTTTTAGAAATGTCTACCTTTTCTTATTTTTTAACAAAAGGAGAAGGAATATCTTATTTAAATCAAGACTGACTTATTTTAGGAGCAAATATGAATGAAAGAGGAGAAATCTGGATTGGCACGCATGCTCCTATTTTTTCCCCCTACTCACACCAATCTATTTTTAGGTGCAAATGCAAATAAAACCCTGCACTGTACAGCCCTGCCTTAAGATGATTTTGGATGCAGACACTATAAAGGTGAACTAGACCATCTGATTTACTTGATATGACAATGTCAACATGTTACCTTGGCATGGGTGGAAAAGGCCCACGAAAGTGCATAGGAGGGGGAGGAGGAGGGAGAGGAGGCGGCGGTGGACCCATACCCATGGGACCACCCCTACCACGATGTCCTCTGAGGTCAGGGTAAGGTCTCATCCTCCCCATTCCTCTGCAAAAGAAATGCATATTAACTTTTAATATACTTACATGGACGGTGCTAAACAAAATAAATTGAACATTCCTTTAGGATCCCCACAGAGTGCAGGTAAGAGAATGGTGGCATGTGGGTTGGAGGATTTCGGCTGGCATGATACATCATTAATGCTCAGCCAACTTAAAACTTCTCTAACTGAATACCTCATGGGTCCGAATCCATTCATGGCTCCTTCTTTCCCACGGCCTCTCCCACGTCCCGGTGGACCAAAGCTTTTGACCATACCTCGCCCACCGCGCATACCACCTCGACTCATATTCCCACCTCGACCACGGCCTTTGGACCCTCGTCCCCTGTGGAAGTAAGGATAGACTTTAGCAATGTTTTATAAATACACTTCACTTTTTAAACATTTAGTTCTTTTTTCATAATAATGGAAAAGGTAAAGTCACTTTAAGATTGACATTATAAACAGAGAAATTATTTCTAAACAACTGACACTGTTCATTTCTTTAATGCTAGCAGCTAGTATCACAGTAGTGTTACTTCTAATAAACAGCATAATAAAAGTTTTTTTTTTTTTTATAATGGGGAAGTTATACTTTTGGGAGAATATTTTCATTTGTGAGCCACTAAGTGAAATAACTTTTACAGTCTACTGCTGTATAAAATTTCCCTTTATAAAACAAGAGTTTTAGTCCGGTTGACATTTCAGAGTTAGCAAAATTATTCATCTAAGCGTTCAACTTTCATTCTAGATCCAGTAACACTTAATTTATCTCAGGAAGTATTCACTCTGATTTCCACCTCAATTTTAGATATAATCCATCTAAACCTAATACTTGGTATGCACCACAGGTTTTTAAGATGGCTGTAATTAAGCCCTGAATTAAGAAACTAGATTTTTCAAGTTTCAGTCAGGTTTTAGAGCAAATAAAAGCACTTTCTCCTCTGTTAGTTTGCAGATTGTGTTGAAGACTGATTCAGTTTGTCATTGTACAACTTGTCATAAGTTTAAGTTCACTTTCTGATTGCTTGAAATCACCTATGAACATAATGTTGTACCTTAAAATTATCCAATGTCTTCCTATTAAATTTCTACCTCTAGTCGATCAAACACACAAACTTTCCATAATCAGAACAAACGTTATGAAGCTACCAATATTTATTTTGAATGCCTCCTTCTGTCTCCTTGAACCCCATGCCACTTACACTGAACCCGGTTCTGCTTCAGGTTTCTTCCTATTAAAATTGAGTTTTCCCTTTCTGCTGTTGCTGCATGCATGCTCAGTATGAGAATCCTGTGGAGTCAACAACAAAATTTAAGCAAACATCTACTGTCGTCATGCTCATGCAGGAGGAGCGTGTGATGCAAAGTCAATGATTAGATTAAATCAGCAAGGTTTTCTTCAATAGAAAACTTTTAATCAATCTAACAGTATGATCTGATTGAACTGTCTCTGTAAATTGCCTTGGGGTGGCATTTGTTTTGAACTTACACTATATAAATATACTGAAATTAATTGAATGAATGAGCCGTTTATCTATATATAGATTTCTAAAACCTGTTTCTTTTCTCTTGTATACTCTTTAATGAATAGTAATAGAAAATTGTGTTTGTAGAGTATTAAGCATTCCCATTAAAAAAAAAATATTGATAATAAGAAAATTGGTCTGCTGAAAATCAGGCGTGTCAGATATTTATAGATGTTGAGAAAGCTCACATTAGAATACTCTGTGCACAGCTACGAATAGCTAGTGCATGAAAAACATGGCAGAAAGCAAGGCTATTCATCACATTTATATTTTTCCCTCTGGTATTTTAAATATCTCACTGAATGATCATGTTGCATCCAGAGCTAAAGGATAACCAAAGACACCACGGGACAGACCTGGAATTGGAGTCACCTCCAGCTCTCTGGGATTCATTCTTCGATATTTTTGACTTTTGATCAGGCTCTGCATCCATCTGAAAACAGTCAGCAGGACAGTTCCCATTAAAAAGGAAAAAATGTCAGATCCTTTATGCAGGCTTGTATGTTCATTTTAACCTCCCTGTGCTGAAAAATAAAACATTAAATGAAGACAGTATGCCCACATTAATCTAAAACAATAAATGTATCATTCAAAAGTAGAAATTATTATAAAAGTCGAGAAATGTCTATAAATTCCCTGCAGCTATAAGGTAATGGATCCTGATACACAGACAACTTCTAATTCAGCAAAAATGTTTTTCATTCTTTATAACTATTTTTGATAAGTCATCTTTAAGATCTGATCAGACATGAACATCAGTTTTGCAGATTTATGACAGGTTTGCAGTGCTGAATTTTATGGTGCATGACACAAATGTGTGCAAGAGCGAAACTCTTAAACAGTGCATTTATCTGCCCAATGATACCACACCATGAAATCTAAACATGAAAAAAATCATCTGCATTATTTGCAGCATGAATTGGATGTGCATATAACTTGGTATTAACATGTGCTGACAAGAGTAAACGATAACTAATTTAAAAAAGAAAAGTAAAGACATGAAATCAGAGTAGATCCACTGCTGATTCAGCCATAAATTTAAACCAGGATAAAATGGAAAATGTAGATGTCCACATGCACTGGATTTCTGTTCTATAGGGAATCAGTATGACCAGATGATCCTCTAACAAAAACCTGATTTTGGGACTTTTTTTGTCACATTTAATGTCTGGTGGTCTTTGAACAAGACAAAGTTCCAAAAGGATTAATATTTATTTATTTTTTTATGTTTGAACAGCTTAATTAAGCAAAATACACATTAATTGCTAAGTTCCCAGTAACATTTTGAAGCAAACATGGCACTATGATCTTAACAGATTGGTTTGTGACTTGAACTGAAATGGGTGGTTTATAGTTGCATGTTTATTCTGGAAGGCAACTCAAAACAAGCTAATACATGCATGTGTTCTGCTATAATGTCATACTTTGAAAAAAAAAAACCCTCTAATTTTAAGAGTTCTTATTCTTTTATAGTCAGGGTCAATTAGACAGTATGGCAGACATTTCTACTAATGGTGATTCTTTAAATATGCAACCTATAAAACTAAATAGGTGGGTTCATTAGCAGATGGGCAAGTGGGTTGAGTGGAAGAATGGTTAATGAAAGGGTGTATTGGTAAATAAATAATAGACAAAGGGAGATGGAAAACTGTCGGTGAATCTAAAAATATCGATCTATATTCCAGAGTTTCTTGTCAGAGCTGTGCCTATGGGCTCTGTTCGAATATCATCCCCTCAGCATCTACGGTAGTAAAAAAAAAACAAAAACAGTCACATAGATTGAAGATTTTAAACAATTTTAAATACTAAAAATTAAAAAGACCAAATTTCATACCTTTTTGTGTTAAAGAATTTTGATTAATTCAATTCAAAAATACTTTGTTGACCCCAAAGGGAAATCAAATGTTTTTTTTAATATTATGCTTAGATATCTGTCAGGACCTGGATTGGCTTTTTACTGTGCACAGTTTATTGTATTTATATTTATGAACTAATTTAGTGTGCCAAGTTATATAGCACATCATTAAACGTGGAACTTCTCCTGTTTTTTTCATATGATACACATTTTATAACAATAGACATGGGCATTTCTCGTGTATATCCATTGGGGAGCACACCTGCTATGGTAGATTCGTGTGTTGAAGAAAATATTTCATTACTTTATATTTGGCTAAAAAGATAGCATTAAACAAATATGAAAACTTGACAGGTTCAGAGTAACCATGGATAGAGGACACGATGCTAAAGGAACACCATAATGGAGCCATTCTGTTGTACTCGCTTGTAATATGAATCCAAGAACGACTAACGTGACAAAAAAAAAAGCTACAATAGTAATAAAAAACGCAATAAATGTGGTAAGTTTTATTTCCTAGAGCTGAGCAGAAAACGTTGGTTTGGTTATCAAAAACATCTTGAAGGACTCTGACTAACTCCTGGATTTAGCCACAATCCCCAACTAAGTATGTCTGTTTTCTTATTAAGCGAATTTCGAAAATAGTATTAAATTAAATGGCTTATTAAACGTCAAAAACAAACCCTGAATGACAGTTAAGCATGGAGGGGGCGTTTCTGTTATTTCTAACCATTTCAACAGCCTTACAGGAATGAAAGCAGGGAAAATGGCTTACCCTATTAGTCGTGCGGGCAAGGTATAATTTAAAAAGTAAAAAATGCCCCTCTTGCCAACCTATTTATAAAATATGTGGTAGAAAAATAAAAAATATAAGTATAGAAAAAAAATTCCACAGCGCCCGTTATTCCTAAACGTTTTGAAATGGCGGCTTCGCAGGGCATCCTAGGCTGAGATTTCTTTGTGTGAGAAATCTATTTTAGTCCCGCCCACTGGGCTTAATACTTATTCTGATTGGCTGTTTTTCAAGTATCTTCCAAATGGCCCAATTCTGATTGGTGTTTATTTCTGACGCGTAATGAATTGTCTACCCTCTATGGATCACATTAAATAAGATGTGCAGGATAAATTTACTTCTTGGTTTTAGAAAAACAAGAACAAACAGGAGCAGTTACAGGCTCTATATGAACACATTGCCTCTCTAATCAATGAACATTAATAAACTAAGTTATAACTAATTAAATATTTTGTCTTATAGTTCACAGACACACAAAATACCTGATTACCATTTTTTTTCAAAGACCTGAATCATAAAACAGGTGAATGACTGAATCAGGTTCCGCAGAAGTGTATATATTCTCTTTTAACATAAAAAAGTGACTCAAAATACTTTGAGAAGCTTTGCCATTCACACAAAAATAATATTTAATGGGTTTTACGAACACAAAACGTGAAAATCCACACACAATTTGAATATCATAAGGAACAAAGGTATCAGTATATAGAGAAAACATTTTCCCTTTTGTCTCTTGATCCCTTTTCAGTGAAAAAAAGCGTAGAAAAATTGAATACTATACAATTCATGTACCAACTAAATTCACAACTCTAAAAAAAAATGGGCATCCTCATGTCCAAATATTTTTCCAAAGTGCCCAAATAATATATACATCAAATCCAAAGGGAAAAAATGATAAAAAATATAAGATTTCAAGTTATTTTGTAAGAAAATGTAAACATGTTTTCTGAATGAGGACCAGATGAACGCTGCGTAAAAGTAGTCCGAGCTGCGTCCGTTACGCACGGCTCAAGATGTCCGAGAGCTTGTTGATGTACTCGATGGTGTATTTAAGCGTCTGGATCTTGGTCAGGGGCTGGCCTCTCTTGCTGTAGTCCGGCGGAAGGTAGTCTCGGAGCTGGTGGAGAGCCTCTGCCAGGCTTCTCATCCGCATCTTCTCCCTCTCGCTGGCCTTCATGCGCCTTTTCTCGGACATCTTTGCTTTGCTTTGCCTCTGCTGAGTCCCTTTGCGCCCGCTGCATCCAAAAGAAAAATCCTTCATCTCCTGTCTGGAGATGGGGCGACACATCTCCGGCGATGAGCACAGCGATGAATCCAGGGGGGACCGTGGACAAACGGACTGCTGGTTTTCTCCAGAAGCGCCCTCGATGCTCTCCCATTCGGATAGGATGGTTGCTGTAAAAGCTTCCAGATCCATGTTGGAAACCACACCGGTGCTCAGTGAGGCGGACATTGTGAATATGGGGGCTTTTTTTCTGTGTTTTATATAGAAACAGATCTCCGGACCTTTATAGGTTTCCCTTTAAAAAAAAAAAAGTTCAAAGAACACCCAAAGTGCCAAAATAAGAGCTTCCCGGTTCGTTATCACCTTTGTGTGAACAAGGCCGAACAGACGGTTAATGTGATAGAAAGAAAAATAATTAGATTCCTCCTGTGGGAAATGACTCTTTAAAGTCTGCTCAGCGACAATTGTCAGTTTGATGTGATGTCTTAATGAAGGCTGGAGGTTCACCTGAGATGTTCACACTGATATGACAACTTAGGTCTGCGTGTGTCCTCACTATCCAAACAAACATCACTTTCATGGACAGTTCATCAAGATAGTTAAAGGTCAAAATCACAAGTTACTGCCCAATCATTGACCTTATGTAAACACTTTAAAATCTTTTCTAAAAGTTAACTTTAAGTAGGATGTTTCTTAAAAAAAACTCTTTATGATTTAAACACATTGGTTTCTTTTATAGGTTTGAGTTTTCTAGAACTTGGAGATGTTATTTGGGGAAAGGATGCAGCCTCACCAGAGCTCCTGCCGGAGCTTTCATGTCTGAGGTGTGAGCCCTCACTCAGGATCAAGGGGACAAGCCACTGCTGTGTTGTTAAAAAAAACAACAACAAAAACAACAGTGGGTTAAACATCCTCTGTCCCTACTTCCTTCTGCTGGAAAAAGACCAGTGGGAGAAAACAACAATATGAGCACCAATAAAATGTGTAATTTTTCTTAAAATTCAGAAATTCCAGACAACTTCCACTTTTCTTTCACACAAAAAATCAGTAGCTGTTCATCTTTACATTACAGTCATAGTTCCTACACATTTTTAATGATTAATAAGAGATTTTATTTTTCCCACAGATAAGTTTACACAGTTCATGTTCCAATTTTTAAGGAAAGAATAAAACAAGAAGCAAGGAAAGTGTGAAGAAAAGTGGATAAACAAATACACCCTTGGTAGAACAGGGAATAAAGGAGAGAAAAATCCAAATTATTTCCATAGTTCCTTTTCTGTCCTGGCTTGTCAAAAGTTTGATTTTCCCAGACACAACAAGGACCCTTATTCACACATAAAACAAAAATAGTTCAGACTTGGATTAATTTCCTATTCCTTGAAATGAGGTGTGTTACAAGAAGAGTGGAAAGTTTGGACAATGGGAAAAATACCCAAATCAAAATCCAGATGATAAAGGAACCTTTTAAGTTTGCTTTCAGACACCACAGATACATTAAAAATTGAACTGGGTCACAATAATCTAAAAGAAATCAGATCTATAGCATTTTGCTTTTCTAAAAAAACATTTTTAAAGAAAATGGTATTAGAATTAAAGACAAAGAGTTTCAAACAGAGGATGATGAATGACGCTCACTTTAGAAGTTTTAGTCGTATTCTCTCGGCTAGTGGCAGAGGACTATCACTATTATTCACTGAATCATTGATGATAGGTGAAGCTGGATTCTGCAGAATCCTATCATCTCTTACTTTAGCTGTTTGAATGTCCTGACAGCTATTTGTAGCTGATAAATCTGTTTTTTGTTCAGCCTTTCCCCATTGGCTCTGTGGTTTTGTTCCAATTATCTGAAGCTTTTGAGAATTCTTAGCATTAGCATCTGTAAACCGACCAGAGGCCGGTTTCAGAGGAAAGTCTGACAAGAAATTTTTCTTGGTTTTGCTTGTCAGTTTTGTTTTTGCTCGACGTTGAGATCCAGACTGCTGGTTTTCAACATCACTGTCCTCACTGGATGAGCCCCTTCCCATGCACACACTCTTCTTCGAGGAATGTGATACGCCGCTGCTCTGTTTGTCCTTTTGTCCTGGGTCAGAATGGCATCTCTGAGGCAGAGCAGAGGATGACGACGAAGCAGATTTGACAAACTTATATTTCTGACAAGGCTTTTCTTGTCTATTAGATTTCTCTAGTGTCTTAATCTGATCCTCACGCAATGTTTTTTTGTGCTCTTCTGACCTTTGAATGCTTTCTTCTAAGCCACAATGTGTTTTGCATGTGAACGGTTCCTTTTTATTACCTGTGCAGCCATTGCTGCCGTCACTGGAACATCCTCTGTTTGAAATAACCAGCTCATAGTTGTGATGTTTCTTGTCTGCATTCCTCATGAGAATTCGGTCTCTCAGAGGACACTCAGTGTAGCACAGCTCTGGCTTTTTGAGTCCAGCTTGTGTTTCATCACTGTCTGTGCTCTTAGTTTGCTCAGGCTCTGCAGGCTGGCTCGCCTGTGAGGAAGGCGAAGAGGTGAAAGATAAAGCCTCCCAGTCGATATCGCTCAGATGTAAAGCGTCAATAACAGCAGAGACAGAGGGTGATGCGGTGGTCTCTGGTTCAAGATCAGGTAGGGGTTTTCGAACATGTTGGTCGTCTGCTTCTTTGCGCTGCTGCTTACGATTCACTGGAGTGTCCAAAAGGATAACTTCTGTTCCTTCAGAGCGTGAGCTGGAAGGGGGCGGAGTTTGAGGCTCGGAGGATCTGTCCGCTGAGAACGTCTGGAGCGTCATCTGAGCCAAGAGATCTGAGACGCCATCAGAAATATCAGAAGGTTTCTCCTTTTTCCTTCTGGCTTTCTTCTCTACAAAAAAAAAAAAAAAAAAGAGAGAGTGGAAACTTAAACATTTTCTCAGTCTTTCTTCATGAATGTAAAAAAAATCTTGTGGATACTTCTGATTTTAAACCCATTTTGATTAAAATTGGAGTTATGAAACCTGTAGCTCTGGCTCATTGGGCCTTCCAAAAGTGGCTGTGAATAATTCTGGTTAAAATGACAAATAACTAGGCTGTACTTTTATGTATAGAAGCAATAAGAGAAGTTTAACTTTAACAATCCCTCTGTTTTCACAACAACTGCATAGAAACTAAAGCAGAGAAATCTTAACCAACCAGCAAAAACTACTGTCAATATAAGTTTTGAATGTTGTAGAGTTTAAGAACTGACTGTTATAGACACACTATTACAACTGCTACCTATTTTTTAAATCCCTATATGGCTTTTAATGTAACTTCCTTAGATTTGCTCATTCAGGCATTTGTCTTACATGGTCTAAACTCTTAATCTATCTCAATGCAAATATGTGTGCCATTTTTTTAAAACGGTGTTAAATGCAAACAAGTCCTGATTGATGATTACTACTCGGGATGAAAAAAAAACTAAAGTCAGCAAATCCTGTGAAACAGACACTTCACCCCAGCATTATTAAAGCCTCTGGCATGAGGTGGCGGAGCTGCTAAACCTTACATTTTCAGGTGTTAAGGCTACTTTTAGCGACAGCCTTAAAAAAAACACGTTAGCTTTGATCTGTATAACCATGTGGGCACAAACTGGGGAGTCTGGGAAGCTTTTTAATTCAGCACAATGAGTATAAATAAACACCTTATTGGGAAAAACACTGCAAAAACACAGCATGTGGAAGAGTATGAATAACAGTCTCCTTACGTTTAGTTTTGTTCTCTTCAATCAGGGCTTTGCTTCTCAGGTAGTTTTCAACAACCTCTGGGAAAGCCGTGCGGAAAAGAGACTCTTCCTCCACCGTTCTCACCTCATGTTGATCCTCAGTTGGTCGGTCTTCTGGAAACACATAATGCTCTGCACAAACAGGGAACAATAACTAACTTAGCTTAAGACAAGTAAAACTTATTTTTTGTTCTTTATTATATTTCTGTTTGTATTTAAATCAAGAAATATATTTATTTTCCTGTAGAAATGGGCCTCTTTTAAAAACTTGTAGTTATTTTCATAGCAGATGTCTGTTTTAGTTAATTTAAGTCGTTATTTAAAGGCAGAAAAGGAAACGGAAACATCTGTTCAACCATAGATTTAAAGGAATATTACCTTTAAAAAAAGAGGACAGCGTTGTATCAGTGGAACAGATTGCCATTAGTTGTAAAAAGGGCAAAAAATGTCCGATGTTTTAAAGTCATTCTAAAAACTTTTTTTGGGAATAAAAGTTTCTTATTTCTTATTGAGAGTTTATTGTTGTTTTATTGTTTTTACTTTCACTTGTATGATATTTTAGTGTATACTCCTACTTGTAAATGTATAAAACTCTTTATGCATTTACTTTGCTGATGGACCCCAGGAAGACTAGTTGCCACTCTGGTGGGCAACTAATGGAAATCCTATTAATGAATATGTAAATAAAGCAGAACACAATGAACAAAACAAAAAGGCTGGTATTTACAAGGAATGTATATCTGCAAATTAGAGACTAATATAGTATAACTTCTATAAGTCATTTCAACACCAATAGGTAAGGTATACAAGACATCAAATTTCAGTAATACTGGATAAAAAAAATAAAAAAAAAATACTGTAAATGTTAAGACAATAGTAACATTAGCGTAAAGATGGAAAAAAATATATAAGCTGGCATCATTTTATGCTTTTTGCCTCAATTTGACGGGAAAACAAAAATGTTAAAAAGGCAGAGGGAGGTGGAGGCATAAAATATTGTCTCTGTTTACTTTTATTATGTAAAAGTAATCAGAATACTGCAGGAAAATGTTATAAATCTGCCTCACATTTAACTTTCAATGTCAGTCTCTATATTTGATGATGCTACAAATTTATTCTGCCTAACAAAAAACAAAATATGTGAAGTTTTGACTGTTTTTTCAGCTGCTTTCTTTTCTTTCCCTTATACACTATATTGCCAAAAGTATTTGCTCACCCATCCAAATTATTGGAATCAGGTGTTCCAATCACTTCCATGGCCACAGGTGTATAAATTCAAGCACCTAGGCATGCAGACTGTTTTTACAAACATTTGTGAAAGAATGGGTCGCTCTCAGGAACTCAGTGAATTCCAGCGTGGAACTGTGATAGGATGCCACCTGTGCAACAAATCCAGTCGTGAAATTTCCTCGCTCCTAAATATTCCACAGTCAACTGTCAGCTGTATTATAAGAAAATGGAAGTGTTTGGGAACGACAGCAACTCAGCCACGAAGAGGTAGGCCACGTAAACTGACGGAGCGGGGTCAGCGGATGCTGACGCGCATAGTGCGAAGAGGTCGCCAACTTTCTGCAGAGTCAATCACTACAGACCTCCAAACTTCATGTGGCCTTCAGATTAGCTCAAGAACAGTGCGCAGAGAGCTTCATGGAATGGGTTTCCATGGTCGAGCAGCTGCATCCAAGCCATACATCACCAAGTGCAATGCAAAGCGTCGGATGCGGTGGTGTAAAGCACGCCGCCACTGGACTCTAGAGCAGTGGAGA